AAGTAAAACCATCCACATCTGATCAAGATCCAACGAAAAAAGCCCCAACAATTGCCAGTCTACCTGCTACCTCATACCACAAGATTTTAGATTACAGTATATATACAACCTTTTCAGGCTTCTGATAATGTCATTTGGCCTGGGACCCTTGATCTCATGAATCGTGAGCCAATCAGCTTGCATAATTTACTAATGAAAGTGAGGCTCCAAGACCAAAAAGTATGTGTGGCATAATTATCGAAAGGGTGTATTGTCAGAACTACTGAGTACTTTGATAAAAAAAACAGTGCATAATACTTGCTCTGAAAAACAGTAAACAGTTTAAATTGTTTATTTGTACATTCGACTAATAAGTAAGTTGTCTTTCTGGAATGATCTCTCTTGAAGATGACTACAGCTTATTAGTCAAAACATACAAATAAACAATTTTGAGGATGTTTTTAAAATACTTCCAGAGAAATTATTGTGTTGTATATAATTATATGGGTTTGTGCAAAAAAAAACTATGGGTGAAATTTCATATAAGGATCCCAAATGATGTCACAGAGGGTTGTGTATGGGCTGGGTGGGAGTAAGGGTTATATTTTGGGATTCTTATATAAAACTTCATCTACAATTATGCCTCCACAAGCAAATATTTATGGATAAAGAGAGCAGATATATACAAATTCTATTTGTGAATGTACATATTTTATTTGTGCTATATTCAATAATTGATAAAATGGACAATTGTGCAATTATGTCCATATCATAGAAACAAAATAGCCATAAAGCCCCATTTACACGAGCAAATTTTATTTGACAAATTTCATATGTCAAAGATATTTTGCTCGTGTAGATGATAAATTTGTGACAAATTTATTGTGACAAATGCATTTGAACAAAAGCCAGCGTGCTAGCTTTTGATCAAATGAAATTTGTCAAATAAAATTTGCTCGTGTAAACGGGGCTTAATGTTCTACTATAAAACCCTGACTGCCCACTCCATTGACCCTCTAGGTCAAGGCATATCTCTATATCTGGTATAATGTCCATCAGGTGAAGGATGTTTTTCGAATTTTCCACACACGGCATGCATGGCTATGTATCTACTAACACACTGTCAATATGCTGCATGCCTCATCACTCTATTGTCATATGTTTGTGTAAACACATAGGTATCTGCCAAAACTTTATGAAGGTGGCCAATTTATCTGCGTCCAAGCAAATGTTTTGGAATGTGCAAGTGTTCTACTCTTGTATTTCTTTGTAGCACACCCTCTTTCTGTCTGTTGGCATCTCTCTGCAATATCCACATACACAGAATGGTGCATTTGACTGTTCGAATTATTGCACTGAATCATGCCGTAGCTGCTCCACCAAATCTTTTAAAACTATTAATGCTCTGGACTTAAAACCCTCCTTTGCTACTTTGACAAGGATCTGGTTATCCAAACCATCAATTATCTCCTAGGTAACAAAGACAACAGTTACGATATATTTATATATAAAGGCACTTGAGTTCACACATGCAAAAATTCTGTACCAATATTTCTAGACCTTGTTTGGTATGGTACGACCCCTTTGAATCATTGTTTATTCATAAAGATTAAAGCATCATACATGATATAGCGTATGCATTCATCACTGTATAAATATGCAGCTTGCTCATATCAAAATCAAATCAAATACAAATATTCAAAATCAGAGAAACTCATTGATATTTCAACTCAAATACTGTACATACCTTTTATATATTTTTACATGGTTTACTCCTCGTACCACTAGTGCACGCGCTTCCTCTGCAATGACAGCCAGTCACCTTTCCATTCGTAGAGGTCTTTAACTTGCGCATACATTGACGATTTACAGCCACAGTAAAGTATCCTCGGTTGAGCGACCATATGTGTAAACAGTGTTTAGTGTTACATAATTATCAATTGAGCCGAATTTTACAGCAATTTTGATACTTTTCTTTTTACATTAATATCCAGAAATACAGCCTTACATCGCTAGACTCATCTAAATCAGATGTTTCGTCTTCAGGCGATGAACTCATGGCAAAATAGCTTCTTTCGTTTTGTAGATTTAAAGAGCCAAACTCTTCGTTTGCCGCCATAGTAATAGAATATTAAGTTGCGTGTAACCTGAGCCGCTTGTCATATCAATCAATCAACAGCGGTATTCTCGGTCACGTGGGGTGCTGCATTCTGCCTTTAAAGGACTTATCTAGTTTTCATGCATTTCTCGTATTATGCTGATGCATTTGATTGTTTGTTACAAAATAATTTTCAAAAAATTCTGGTAAGTTTTGAAGATGGTAATATCGAAACATGAATATCGCGGTTGAATTGTGATTTATTTTGAAAATATCAAGTATGCTTAATTCTTTAAAAAGTGGCTCAGCATGTTCTAAATATGTCTTACATGACATTAATCTAATAACCTTTTTCCGTATATTCAATAATTTTTGATTCTTGATTTGTAGGTGTTACCCCAAATTAAATTGCGGTAAATAAGATATGGATAGACCAATGCATAATATATTAATTTCAAAGTATTTCGATTTAGGAAATACCTAATCTTAGCAATAATACCAGAGGCTCTAGTGATCATTTTCGCCACCTGAGCTGTATGCTCATTCCACGTTAAACATTCATCAATGATAATACCGAGAAATATTGTATTTTTAACTTGTTTTATATTTTGTTCATTTATTCTAAGTTTTATTTCTGTTTTAGGTTTCCTATTTGAAGACCTAAATAATATAATTTGTTTTTTTAATATTTAAGGATAATTTATTGGCGTTTAGCCACTCAGTAACTTTGTTTATTTCAGTCAGCGTAGTGTTGTTAAGAGTTTTTAAACAACTGTTGCCACAAGAAATAGTTGTGTCATCTGCAAATAATATAAATGATAGTAATTTACTACTATTTTCAAACTCATTTATATATAGCAGAAAAAGAATTGGTCCTAAAATTGACCCCTGTGGGACACCAGTTTTAGTTATCATTTCCTTTGATCTTATTTCATTATATTTTACAATCTGTTTTCTATTAGTCAAATAGTTTTCAAACCAATGTTGTGTTATCCCTCTTATACCATAGTGTTCTAGTTTTTGAATCATAATCTTATGATTAATAGTGTCAAAAGCTTTTGATAAATCAAGAAATATACCTAATGTATATTCTCCCTTATCAATCGCTTTTGTAATTCTATCAGTAAGTTCAATTATTGCTAGTTCAGTTGATCTATTCTCTCTAAAACCATATTGATGTTTAGTGAGTATCTTATTTTTTCTATGAATTTGGTTAATCTCTTATACATAAGCTTTTCCAAAATATTACGTATGGTCGATAATTACTAAATTTATCTTTTTCATTATCTTTGAAAATCGGAGTGACTAAAGCAATTTTTAATGTCTCTGGAATAATTCCACTGACAAATGTTAAATTAAATATATGTGAGAGAGGTTCAGAAATGTCTTTTGCAACATTTTTGATAATTTTTGTACTTATACCACCATCATCCTGGACTTTTGTGGGAATTTAAGTTTTTTATCTCAACTTCTACCTCGAACTTAGTGACTGGTTCAATAAAAAAGCTGTTTTTACATCTATTAGATAAGTACTCATTGAATGTTTTTTCAGTATTTGGAAGTTTATTGGCAATCCCTGGCCCAATATTTGTAAAGTACTCATTAAATTTATTCGCTATTTCGTGAGGATTGCTTATTATTTCTCCAGGATTGGTTCCTGAAAATTGTTTTAGTAGTAGATTACTTTTTCACATGAGTTTGTTCATAATTTCATTCAAAGTACTCCATAATAACTTTGTTTCATTTTTGTACTTGATCAATTGTTCTTCATAATGTTTCTTTTTTGCTATTTTTATAATATGATTCAGCTTATTCTTATATTGTCTGTATTTGTGTTGGTTGTTGGTTGTAGGGTGACACAAAAATTTCTTATAGAGTTTATTTTTTATCCTAACTGATTTAGCAATACTTTTGGTCATCCATGGGCTTTTTCTTTTGTCAATTTTTGTTTTTACCTTCTTTTTGGTTAACGGAAAGTTTTCTTCATAGGTTGATGAAAATATATTTTAAAATTTATTATATGACTCTATTCCATCATGGTTTGAAGTAACTGTTTCCCAAGAAAGACCTTTGATTGTGTTGGTATATGATTGGGTGTTTGAACCATTAATATTTCTATTCAAACCGTATTCATTTTTTGGAAGAGTTTCTTTGTGTGTTTCAGAATTACGTACATGTACGACAGGCAAGTGATCAGAAATATCAGAGAAAATTATTCCATTTGAACTAGAATTTGTAACTTCAATATCATTAGTAAAAATATTGTCGATAAGTGTAGCTGTGTGATTCTTGTTGGTTTTAGTATAAGTGGAATATACGATGATGTAAGTAATTGTTCAAAAAATCTACTAGCATAATCACAAGATTCTGATTTTAACAGGTTGATATTAAAATCTCCCATCAAATAACATATCTTATTTTCTTTGTGTCAATTTTACTTAGTATTTTGTTAATTTTATTTTCGAATAAGTCATATTTACTATTGGGTGGTCTATAAATTACACGTATTATTATATGTTTCTTTTTATGGGTTATAATTTCAATAAAAACAGATTCAACTATATTTTCATCATTTATGATTAGATCACTGCGTATTTTGTATTTCATTTCATTTGATATATAAATTCCTACACCTCCACCGCTTCTATTGGTTCTGTTCACATTTACAAAGTCGTAATTGTCTATAATACAATTTAGCCAGGTTTCAGCACGGTTAATAGAAGGAGACTGGTTTGGCTAGCTGTATCACATGACAAATATGTTATTGTTCGGATCAAGTTAAAGTCATGTGACCAGATGAGTGCATGCACTAGTCAAAGCCATACTAAGTGTATACTATAAATTTACATCCAGAAAGGCAGTTATTTTCGGCATAATTTTGTTTTTTGTTTCGATTTTGCGAGTCGAAAATGTAATCGCAACAATGCCTGGGTCGAATTGTGCGTTTTACGGTTGTTACACTAGTAGGAAAAGCAAAATTTCGCGTTTCAAGATCCCTGTAGTGTGCGCAGCCGATAGTGACCACACAAAAGCTTTCAAGACAAAGGCTCGTCAAGAATGGATCGCATTAATCCTAAGGACCAGAGAAATGACGCCCGAACTCAAACAACAAATCGATGCCAACAACATTCACTTCTGCGAGCTCCATTTCAAACCAGAATGCTTTAATATTCGTAAGTATCATCATTATAAATTCACGTTCATGCGGTATTTGAATTTTTAATAAATTAACATATGTGTTAATAGTTTAAAGATAAAGAGCAGAGCCCAGCAAATAACTTTAAAAAACCAAACATAATAAAAGTAAAATTTTAATTAGCTAACATTTCGTTGTTTACAATACAACATTTTCAGAGCAATCTAAATACGTTAATAGCATAACATGTCAATGCCGTGTCCTAGGACCCCTGCAGCTATAAGCCTACTAAGAAGTATCAGATCATATATTGTCGTGTTAAAGACGTATATTACGGTTCAGTTTTTTTTTATTTGCTTGTATAATGTTCATTTTAGACCCTAAAAGGAAGACTTTAATTTCTGGAAGTGTTCCTAGTGAAAATCTACAAACTAGTAGCCACTCACCGGAAGAAACTCCTAGCAAAGTTGTAAAAGCACCAAGCTTGGAAAGTGTTATTCAGCAGGTGCAAGATAGCATTCCTCCCTGGAAATTAGATAATTCTCCTGACAATGGTGTTAAACTAGAACTCTATGATGATCTACATAGCCTGCCTAAATATACTGTGCTAATTCATTCCTCTCTGGAGTTCACCGTTGCCGTATATAATTGGCCGATCAAAGAGGATCATCCTATTTATAAGGAACTAAAACGTTCAGTAATGTATCATTCCATGTGTGAACTGGTAAATATTATTGAAGAGTCCTCATTGTGTCAGGGTTTACCAGAGATCTGTTGTAGATCCTACTTCAAAAGTAACAACATCTGGTACTGTTTCATGCCACTCTATTCCCAAATCCATAACATCTGAGCAGACCCACATAGCGACTTCAGTTGTACTACGGTCAGTGGACTGTGAATTAATTGGTACTACTTTAGAAGAACAGCAGTGCAAGCCATGTGGGACTGCAAGTTACATCACTGTACCATTATGCACTTATTTGGACTAGTTTTCATACTATCTTCTATAAAATGTTCAGTTTGCCCAGCATTGGTGTATAGATGCATAAACGGCTGCCAGTCATAACATCGTGAATTTTTAGATTGCCATGTAAATTGAAACTATATGAACAAAATTAATTTTTAAACTTTGCACTCTATTACGAAACAAGCCAATAAACCTTATAGGACATAATTATAAGTTTACAGCTCATATATAAGGGGAGCTCATACATTTGAATAATGTGCATAATTATCACAGGAAAAAATTAAACATCCCAAGTTGGCATGTCATTGGTAATTTAATGGGGAAAATATCCAATGTTGGTATTTCGTTGGCAATTTTCAATATTTCCATTGATGTTCCAAGAAAATACAAACATGGGTTTACCAATGTTGGAATGTTATTGGAAGATTTGCTAAATAACGCTGCCAAACTTGGAAACTCATTGGTATATTGTTGGATAATTAACCATTGTATTTTCCAAGATTGGAATATTTTTGGTATGCTTAAGCTATTAAAACCAATAATATACCAACAAAATACCAATCTACAAGAATGAAACATACCAAACTTGGAAACTCATTGGTATAAAGTTGGATAATTAACCATTGTATTTTCCAACATTGGAATTTTTTTGGTATGCTTAAGCTATTAAAACCAATAATATACCAACCAAATACCAATCTACAAGAACGAAACATACCAAACTTGGAAACTCATTGGTATAATGTTGGATAATTAACCATTGTATTTTCCAACATTGGAATATTTTTGGTATGCTTAAGCTATTAAAACCAATAATATACCAACCAAATACCAATCATTGGTATATTGTTAGATAATTAACCATTTTTCAATCACTGGAACATTTATATTGGAATGCCAAAATTACTCATGTTTAATACACAAAGCAGACATTTCTCGTTTATCTTATCTTAAGGCAGTTGTACAACATCCTAGCTCACCAATACTCTGATGAGATTATTAAGATTTTCATTGGTCTTGCCAGCGAGAAAACTGGACAACCCAGGTACCCTTTACAATACCCAGGATACTGACAAACATTATTTGTTGATTCCGAGTCCCTTCTGGTTCCCATAGTCTATCAGGTCGCTGGCGAAAGAAGCAGCCAGAAACTCAGTCTTCTCATTCGAAAGGATAAAACTCTGGCCCTCCAGACTGTATCTTCATTATCTCCTCTAACAAGAATCATATCATTAATGCATGGGAAGTACGGAACAACAACAGTTCCAGGTCGAACAGGGAAAATTCGTCGCATGTAGTCAACAATTAGGAATGTTGGTTGCCCATTAATAGGCTCAGCTTTTGCAACCATAATTTTACGACTGATATTCTCTGCTGGAACAACAATTGTGTTTTCACTAGTCTGAACCAGTCTTCCACTGTCATTATTGCCGACCACTTCTTTAAATATGCTACAATACAGGAAATGTTTACTTTGTCCTGCAACAAGAACTGTAAATATTTTCTGTATTTGTACAGAAACTTCACCACCCTGAATGGCAACAACAATTGCTTCTTCTCTAACTCTGTATAGTAGACCATTAAATCCATGATTGGGTTTCCAGATACTTCTGTAACTAGTTGCACCATCAATAACATCATTATTACGGACATTGCTCATTACTGCAATTTCGTGTTGTATTTGATACAACAATACAAAGCGATGTGGACCACCAACTAAAATCCCTATAGAACTTTTCTCTTGAACCACTTGGCTTGCTTTATACAATTTCCGTGCTTGATCAATAGATTTTGCCCACAACTATATCAAGAGAAATCCAAATTTTGGTATACAGTGCTAGATCTTTCATTTCATATTGGGCGAGATATAAATGTTTTTAGCCAAAGTTCTGTTTGAAAATTGGCGAAAAAATCGACTAAAACGGCTTATTAAATTTATTTGAAGACATTTGGTATTTTTTTCGGGAGTATTGGAAATTTTAAAGAAGTTAGCTTCAATCTTGTATTATTTTATGGTTTACATAAAATATTTTGACCTTTGGGCCTTGTGGGAAATGAAAAATTCGAATGCCAAAGTTCGAATTCAAGCAACAAATCTGGAACGTCCCGCATGAGCAGCAGCCTAGGGATTTGAGACAGCTCCGCCAGGCAGTTATCTTAGCGTGCCAAAGTTTAGATGCACAAATGATACAAAGCGCTTTTTCTGGCATGGTTAACCGCAGAGCACGACGTTATATAGGTGTTCGAGGACATGCTTTTTCAGATGAATAAATCATCGAATGTGTAAATATTATTTATCGTGTGTTGTGTTGACAAGAACAGCATTAAATTAAATGTTAATTTGATAGGCCGATTTAATGTAATTTTAAGCATTTTCAAAATCGCTTCTTCGAAATGAAACTGTAGTATTTCATTCAGTTTGCTCAAATATCTTCAAGTCATATATCAAAATTTAAGTTAGGCCTTTCTGAATTCAGTGAAGTCTATTTGATTGAAACTCCTTGTCCAGTTTTAACGGTATAACAAACCAAAGACCGATACTTTTTTTTGAGACACCCAGTATACAGTACACACACACACACACACACACTAAGATGAACCCTCGCAATTTCACGACTCATGGACCCAGTTTCCACTCAAAAAGCTAACACTCTTCAAAGTTGCACTGCCGCGTTATTTTATTGCAAGTGCTTACTAAATCTTCATTCACACTATCTTCGTTAGGGGTTTGGCTTTCTCTTTCTTTGATTACTTTCAGTGATTCACGACGGGACTCAGACGCAGCAAAGGTGCATTCAATGTTCTTGCAATTGCTTGGGTTCCTTGTGTATCTCTTGACTGCACGTTCCTTGGTCCAACAAGAATAGTTGTCAAGGCCACTGAAATTTTTTATATCATCCTTGAAGTGAAGTAGATTGTGAAGAATAATAGGACATGCCGATGGCCCTCGGTTCTCTTCCAAAAGGACACCATAACGCACAGCCATCTCATGGAATGTCTGAGCATCATCTTCAGTCCATCCATTCCTAGCATGGTTCTGTATAAATTCAACAATGCGAGCCAGACAAGACCACTGTTCCTTGAGACTTATTGTAGTAAAGAGACCGTTAAATACTACTTCTGACGCAGGGAATGCAAATTTAGAGAATTCTTCAGCTAGAGGCAGAATAAAAATTAACGCTCAGAAGTGTACCATACAAAATGAAGAACTAACATGATATACATGTCTGTCGATTATTTAACAATTATTTGCCGAAGGCGAGGTGATTATCGGTGAGTAAAAACCGAGACTAAGTCGAGCTTTTTATTCACGATAATCACCGAGTCTGAGGTTTAGTATAAATTGTTTTAGTATAAATTAACAGGTGATTGTTTTGGAAAACAATGGTGATTGTTTTGGAAAACAATACAAAAATATACATTTATTGGTCACTTTATTAGACAAAACGGCTTGCCACCATTCTTGAAAGCGCTTGAATGATTATCGCGTTATAATCACCTCATGCGCAACCAATCAGCGTGGAGACTTTTCAATAATCACCTATGTAGTTATACTAAACTGTGTTATACTGTATACAAAAGTGAATGTCTTCTTTTATTTTATAAGGCAAATACTGAAGATAGACGTTATGTTACGATCAGGTAAAAATATACGTAAACTGTATAGTCAAAAAAAATTAACTGTCACATTTAAACGTTTGGTGTCGTGGTTGTTAAAAAGTGGGATGTGTTCTGTACTGAACATCTGACTACTATTCTCATTATTGTACCTTTCCATTTCCCGATATTTTTGGTCAAATTCTTTGGATGTCTGGAAGATCTCATCTCTGAAAAAAATAAGGAAACTGTAAGGGACAACATAATTTCTGTTTATCTAAAAAGCTTGTTGTAAAGCATGCGCATGTTTAAGATATTAAAAATACAACCCATGAGCCCTGTTCAAAGATTACATATAAGACACTTGACAATTATATCGACACCTTTTATACGACTAATGAACAATGTATTTGAATTATTCCTCCCAGATAACATTTTCAGTTATCAATTGTAATATACTGTAACTTACTTTCTAATAATTAACGCTGTCTATTCATTAGTTCATTAATATCGCAAACATTATATGGACTGTAAACAAAAAATATTACATTACCATTGGGCCAGGGAAATGCATTATTAAAGTCGTTGATCTACCACTTGCCAATCAATCGCATTGTCTTCATCTGCCATTAAATCCTGAAGGGCATGTTTCACAATATTCAGGGATACAGTATGCATTTCATCAAACACAATGTGCTCATCATAAAGAAAACCATAAAGTGCGTAAAGCCTGTGTAACACTGACAGACCAGTATAGCCACAATTTGTAGCTTTTTTCCATCGAACTGTTATCCTTTCCTCTTCTTCTATCTCTTTTAACAAATCAAGATTCCCAAGTACGGTTTTCTTGGCAGCAGGAAATCTACCTTGCTTTCGGAAACCTGGGTAGTAGTAATGGTTGCTTTCAGGGACATAAACACCTATTAAAGTAGATTATACAAAATATATACTATATCAGACAGTTAAACAGAGCATATATCTGAAACAAGAACTTTCTGGGGATAGAAAATTTTATACAGTAATTTTGTAATAAAGGTTTCGTTTAGTGGAAACAGCACGTATATTCAAACTATTTAATATTGCAAAGCTTTCAGTCCGTATGTCCAAACCGTCAATTCATTGTTACTAGTAATAGTTATAGTTTAAGAAATAGCTTAAGTTATAGTTAAAACGTTCAAATCTAAGTCGTATCACAGATTATATGTACCATTTAATGCACCTATCATCGGCTATCCCCTGGGTGGGGACCCCGGGCAAGGCAGGGAACTTTGTTAAAAACACTGTGCAATGTTCGTAAATCTCCCCTCATGCCAGCGGGACGAGTGTAAACAAAGTCGAAATATCCCCCCTGCCTCCTCTAGGTAACGCTATCAAAGTCCAGGTATTCTCCCCTCCCCAATAATCAGTAAAGCATTCAGATCCCAACTCTTCAAGTTGTCATCTCTTCAGTGAGATGCAATACTGGTAAAATATACATCGAAATATCGGTCAATTAATGTATTAACCCATGCTTTTAAAGAACATAGAGCCATCCACATACCTTGCTTTTGCTTAGGTGTAAGATCCTGTGTCGCTTCCATTATGGTTCCATACACAAATCTCAAAAAAACAGCTGATGGTTTTTACAATATCACATCACATATAGAGTTGAATCAGTTCATAAAGAAACACGATCCACGCGAGAATAAACGCAAAAATCGAGCCCACGTGCATTCAAACATGGCAAGCAAGAAGTACGTCATAAAATATGCACTAAGAAGTATCGAGCAAATCTCCGGTATTTTCCCCGTGGGAGGGGCCAAATTTAAGGCAATCTCTTGAATTTCCCCTGTATCCAATGCAAATTACTGTTCAATCCCCCCTATATATCCCCACATTCTATACAAATAGCCCGGGGTCCCCACCCAGGGGATAGCCGATGATAGGTGCATAACTATCTAATCTGTGATCATGCTGGGAAAACAGTTAAATAATAATGACAAAGACATTGGCGTACGTAGCCACTAACCTTTTTAGTTTTTAAGTTGCAGGTTTTTATTTTGTTGTAAAACCTACTTTAATTACGGTTATTACAATTGAAGCTACCAAACCGAGAGATTTCTGTTCTTTACACTGCAGTTCTAGCGTTAAATGGAGTCGATTTTTCTGTATCATAAAATCATCTTCCATGTACATGTAATTTACATAGACAACTTTTAGACGTACTCAAGGTACTGTTAGTCTGTTTATAAAAAAAATTGACATGATAGTGATTGCTGACCATATACACTGTACACACGGTTCTAAATTGCTACACATACTTTCAACATGACAACGGCGACAACCACACTTTCCCATCCTGATAAATTTTCCCACTTCACATAGCCCAATGTGATCACCTGACCAACATAGTATTAAATGCCTTATTAATGCTGGACCTGCTGGTATTCCACAGACAGAAGCAGCACAGTGTATTTGAATCCCTATACAATTCAAATATAAATTTAAAACTATAAGTCGTAATATATCTTTATTTTGCCAGTGCATGCTGAAAAATAGTTATACTGGTATATACTGTACAAGTTGTCCAAAAAATATATATTTATACCCTGTTTTATTTCCTGCAGAACGGCAATTGCATAAGAGGTGCTTTCATGTTTCCACATAAGAAACTTTGGATCAACAAATTATCGAAGCTATTTTGACGGCATGGATTACTGAGCATGCATGACAATGGTGTTTCAGGCTCAAGAACAAGGTTAAGAACAAGGTTCCAAACCAATTTAAAAATGGTATTTTAACTTTAAAACATCAATAGGGCAGTCATGTTGCACAAAAAATGACATCTTCTATATCAATTCTTTTTCTTAATACAATCAAGCTGTTGATCGGGTATAGTTTTTTGGTACAACTGCATGGTATATCACTCTAATTATAATGATTTGTAATTACTGAAGTTATATCTGTTTAAAATAATACTTGTCTGATGACTTCATGACTAAATGTATCAAGTCATCCAACACGTGTAAAAATGCATGAAGCGTTTTACTTAATACATCTCAATTTTACAGCAGACAGTACTGATAATGTAACATCAGACTGACAGATGTTAGAATCAGACAATGTTTACCATACATATATTTTCCTATAATCTGATAATCATAACTAATTAACTAACCATTAAACCCATCTTCAATGTCTCTTATCAAAGGTTCTAAAAATGGATCCAGTAATATATGACACTTGCTGGGGAGCAGATAGGTGGGTACAAATCCAATGACATATACTTCATCAACACTGCATCTTTGTTCTTTAGACATGGTAGCAATAGTCAATTCGATAGCCCCTAGGAGAAAAATATAAACTTTGCTAATTGAATGCAGAGCTGAAAATAATATAAAATGGCAGTCAATGGATTGCCTCATATTATTAAAACCCTTAATAAGTCATTTGCCGGGGATTTGAGTTGCAATGAGTGTTGGTGACAAATGGAAATCACACAAAAAGCAATAAAAATGCCTGGCGTTAGAAGAATAAATACTAAAGAGTAAAGTAGGACGCAAGGGGCACATTGCCCGTTAAAGGGTTAATATGAACTATGTTATAGCTGTCTTTGTATGCAATTTAGTATTTTCAAAGTCCTATCATGACATCTGATAATTATCAAGGATCCAATAGATGAATTAGTGCCCATCTTTTTCACTGAATTTAAAAAGAAAAGACTGGACACTTGAATTAGTGAAACAAAGTAATTAGCATGAAGTTAATTGACTATACTAGTATAATCTGATCCACAGAATTATTGAGATAGAGTAACGTTCAATCAGTGGCGTAGCGCTCATTGGGTAGGGTTAGTTCAAAAACTAAGGGCCCCCGACAGTTAGGGGCCCCATCACCCACAACCTATCGCCCATAAAATTAGAAAATGTAAAAAATGCAGGTTAAGGGACCGCTCATTATTTATTGTACAGGGGGGGATTGAGGAGAAACTGGGGGGGCCTTTAAATTTTTCAAAACCTGAAAGGGGGGGCTTTGAAAAAATACAGAGAGACGAAAGAAGGGGGGCTTTGAAAATATTTACCAGTTTGAAAAAACAGTAGTTTTAAAAATGTATCACAAAACAACTTAACAACAAATAACAATATTTATAGACTTTAATATTCATAAATGGAAGTCAAATAAAAAGTCTCTCGTGTTCATGTAAATAGACAATTCCCATTATAGACTAATTTTAGAACTAGGCAAAGAGATGCAAATCAAGGCCGGATTTTGGTGAAAATAGTGGGGGAGGTGGACAAAAAATTTAGGAGAGGTGCAGCGGTCTAGCTCACAACTCCCATGGAAAGTTAGGGCTTATTGTAGAACAGGCCAATATCAACGAGGTGAGGTATGCATGTAGTGTACATAATATGTACCAGTGTATTAATGAATTATGAATGTATGACTCCAATTTTGCCCTTCATTACAATTGCTACACTGTTTCTTTCAAAACATTGCATTAAAAGGGTGCTTGACATGGCTATCACTGTTTCAATTTTACAGAGAAAACTTTCTTACGTCACAAAGTGTAGATCCTAAGCAACCATCACATTTTCACTTTGTTCCATCATTGAAACTTTCCCAAGGGGAAGTGCATGACCTTTCAAGAGAGGTGGAAAAATTCTCAGGGGAGGTGCAAAACGATCTCTGGGGAGGTGCGCACCTCTCCACACTTCCCTCAAAATCCGGCCTTGATGCAAATAAATCACCACAGCTAGAAAGAGCATACTAAAATAAGTAAATTATTGCAAAGTTTGGTTGCGAATTGTTGCAAAATACGGAAAATATAGCCTTGCAAAGTTTGCAAATTTTGTACACTTTTGTATTGCATGCGAAAATTGCAATTATACAAAAGAATACAAAATTTGCAAACTTTGGAAGGCTATATTTTCTACATATTTTACAACATTTTGCAACCAAACTTTGGAATTTTACTCATTTTAGTATGCCCTTCCCGGGAATATACTTTTTTTGCTAAGATAAAAAATTAGTCTATAATGGGAATGTCTATTGGTCCCCATTACCTATTTTTCTTTCTCTAAAATAAACAGCTGGAGTTTTTGTTTCTCTAAATAAAGATAAAGAGCTAGGGGGGGGGCAAAATTTATGTTCTTGTTTTGCCTGCTGGGGGGGGCTTTGAAAATTTTACTTGTCTTAAGAGGGGGGCAATGAAAAAATATTATAACTGTAGAGTTTCTCCTCAGTCCCCCCTGTACAATAAATAATGAGCGGTCCCTAAGAATGGGAAAATGCAAAATTAATATAAATGCTAAATAATAAAGCCTCCATCGACAACGGTACCAGATTTTTTAATTTCATCTCAAATAAAACAAATGTTATTCTTATTAGTTGTTACATGTGTTGGAGACTGTTATTGTTATAGACATGGAATTTTCCAGAACATTTTATAAATATTCAATATAAATATAATATCTCAGTCAAACAATGACAACAGGGGCCCCCACACCAAATATGCCTAAGGGGCCCCTGTTCCTCCGTTACGCCACTGCGTTCAATAAATAGCATAAGTAAATACTGTGATTAATAAATTATGTCATGGAATACAAACGCACGTTTATAACAAATAAATTAATCCCACTAACCTGACCCACGTGACATAGATGTAAATGGCTGCCACCCATCCCAGTGAACTAGTAACAAAAAATGTCAATGCTTGTAATTTCACCCATTTCATCTATAGTTAGTAATCTGACCTAATGATATAATTAGGTGGATACAATTAGAAAAGGAAGGAGGACTCTCAGTTCAATTGAACAATGACCTTCTAAACTCCCAATATAAATTCAAGGCCTGCAGGATAATATTAGATTATCTTTTAGTTATCATTAAAATTGTGACAACAGATTGTACTGTTTATTCACCTTTGATCCAATTTACTCGCGTTTTGTGCACATGAACAGTAGGGTTAGGAGTAAGCTTTTGATTGGGCTTAAGATCAATGAGAAACAAATTTGTGCAGGAAATGGTGACAAAACATTAATGTGTGCCTGTCATGCTGCAACATACAAATATGGATATGAGGCCATTGGGTCAATTAAAGTGAATAAAGAGCAAGGATTATAATAGACCTTTCCAGTAATTTCATCACAACTACACTGTTTTCAATTTAGGACCACCTTAAATGGAATAGATTTCAAGTTTGTTTCTCACAGGCTATGGTCAGAGAAGCAGAACATCCTTTGTCAACACATGCATAAAAAGGAATTTTGGATTTTGACTATTAAATGTGGAAATAAGATTAAACATGAAAACAAGGTCATGGCCCCTCTTGTTTTCGTGTTTAAGCTTATTTCCACATTTATTGGTCAAAATCCAAAATTATTTTTTATGCATGTGTTGAAGAAGGATGTTCTGCTCCTCTGACCATAGCCTGTGAGAAACATACTTAAAATCCATTCCATTTATGGTGGACCTAAGTTGAAAACAGTGTTAGTCGTGACTCGTGACGTAATTACCAGAAAAGTCTATTAGGTAAATACGAGGGGCATTTCACTCCAAAAAAGCGTACGGGATTTTCGGATTTTTAAAAATCCGCGGATTTTTCCCGGATTTTTTAGCGGAATTTTGAAGAGAAAATCTGTTGGATTTTCCGGATTTGTTCGGATTTTTTCTGGATTCTTTGACGAAGCGTATGGGATTTTCGGATTTTTAAAAATCCACAGATTTTTTAGCGGATTATTTCCGGATTTTTAGCGAGAAAATCTGCTGGATTTTCCGGATTTGTTCGGATTTTTTCCGGATTTTTTGACGAAGTGTACGGGATTCTTGGAGTGAAATGCCCCTCGGGTAAATACAGACAATACAGTATATAATATGTGCAGTAACACAAGGGCAGCCAATCTTTATCAAGAAATTAAGTAGTAAATCAGATAGAAATCCAAAACAAATACTTTATATTTATTAAAATGCAAAATGCATCAAAGTGACAGTATTTACTAAGAACAATTTATTTTTGGCAATGTGGTTTGCTTTTATTAACAGAGAAAATCAAAGTAAAACATAAATCAGGAATAAATCTCTAGTATCTAATTAACAAACATGAATAAAACTTAACATTAATTAATTTTGAGTTTTCTTAACAAATTATACATAAATTTTAAAAATACATTACATAAACATACCATCATATGCAAGGTTCCTTGGGTTGCCTGTTGTTTTCTGTGGTACATGTACAAAAACATTCCTGGCACTCAACATCTCTGGTTTCACAGTTACCAAAATTAATAACAGTGTGCGGGCTCTGCAGTATCTGTTCTGCAGAAATAACGTTCTTGCAACCTTGCATTGGACATTTAACCGGAAGGGTCCATTCTTTGTCAGGATCCCAAAAGTATGACAGCTTTGCAAACTGCTTGCCATCCCAGAACTGTTTCTTTAAATACCATCCCCAATTCTCCTGCCTTTCAGGAGGCAGCCAGTGATCCCTTTTCTGCCAATGTGCTGTCATTTTTCGACACATGTCTTCTGACAAAAACCACCTGTTAACTTTGTCTATGACACTGAGGTAGTAGAAAGGAATTGTTCCCTGTTTTTCACAGTGAGGACACAGAGCCTCCTTAGATTCCATGAGTCCATACAAACATGGATGGCTGGAGTCGAGGCAGATATAATACAATTTCGGTGTTTTGAAACCAATATCACCAAGTAGTGCTTGCACATCTGCCCATGATGACGGCCAGTGACAACCAGACTCTTCATTGTTTACACAATACAGATCCCTTCCCCAACGAAGAAGATCCTCCAATTTGGCAATTGAAAAACCAGATTCACCTTTTATTTCCAGAAGTCTTAGCACAGCATCTCTAACAAAGTCCATAACATCATTCGGCCGGTCGCGAATGTCATCAGGTCGGTTCATATGGTCCTCCGAGGAATCTCCATCGTGTGATGAATCATTTCGTGGTTCACTCTCACTTTCGCTTTCACATTCATCATGTTCATGCATACAGGTATCACCATGTTCGATATTACTATTACTATCTAGTTCGTCACCATCTGCCATAAGTAATCCCGAAGATCGATTTTCAGAGTGACTATAAGAGAACGAAGAGCTAGCAAATTGTGAGTTCATCGAGTTGGTAGATAATTCTCCTGGTTCTTGATCGTCGTGCGAAGTACCTTCTCCGTCATCCGAACCTAGACGCCTTTTTCTTAGATGACGCCAGGCGACCATAGGGAACACTGCACGGTTCTCACATTTTGGACAGGGGCAGTGAATGTGAGTTTGGTTTATTGAAGAAAACTCGGCTGCTTCTGGTGTATCGGAACATCTACAAATACTTCTTTTTTCGTCCATGATCTAATTTATATAAATTATAATTATTATAATTAATAAAATTTACACTCAAAACCAAGTTTGAGCATTCCTTGCAAAGAGATCTGAAATTCCTACTTTTCCCTCAAATTCCATATGACTACATAGTACATTTGCTGATACTCTAGATCTTTGGAAATGTATTTATATTTCTGTAGAAACGGTTATACATATAAAATCAGTCAACCCGAATTATGTCCGTCATCTCACCTCTTTAAAAAACTCATTAATAATTCAGGAGCAAAACACAAAGAAAAATCATAAGCGTGTCGTGGTTTTATATGTGATAAAAAATCACGTTAATTTACATAAACTTTAGCTTTGATTTTCTTGGTTTAGACAAAGTTTATTTTAAAAATTTCTTCGCCAATGAACTCGTATAAGATGAGTCGTTTTTTAAGCTATTTAAAGCACTTGTAGTCGTGTTTTATCACATATAAAACACTCCGCTACGCGTCGTGTTTTATATGTGATAAAACACTCCTACGCGTGCTTTAAATAGTACATATAACATTAGACCTCAGATCAGGGTCTTAGCCAGAGGGCCGTGTTGGCCGTGTTATCGCGGCCAAAAGGGGAAAAACACGGCTAGATAAAATGAACGCGGTTTCATTATTTATATAAGGCCGTGTACAGTAGGTTCATAAAATAACTGACAGAATTTCTTCCAATTTCCTGTACGTCGTAAGAAAGTTTGTGAAATCTACGGTTGTTGTTGAAATTGACAAAAGTGATCTGTGATGTTTTAATGTTTTGATGGATAATGGGAACTGTATGGTGTTAAATGGTTTTAAATACCCCCAAGAGTTGCTGAAATAATTTAATGTCAGTGCCCAATATGAGCATATGCTCGTCTTGTATTTGGTTTCAAAGCATAGAACAACCACAGGCATTGTCTGTTGTTGGCAAGCATAGCTAGAACTGTGAATTTGGCTATTTGAGGTAATTGACATGTGCACACCCTGGTCATTTAGAAACACGCCCAAGATCTAAAATCCTAGCTAAGACCCTGCCTCAGATGGGATCTTTTATATTCCTTAAAAATTCCTTAAAAATTCCTTAAAACCCAAGGAAACAAACTCACTGACATACCTCGTTCCCAGGCTACTTTGAATCACGTGATCACGAGATCGTGTCAGATTGGCGCCATTTTTCAACATATTTTCAGTTAACTTTATCTGATTGGAAATTGAGCTTTATTTTAGCTGCTTTTTGGTGGAATTATGTCAAGTTCGAGTGCAAATATAGATGAGAAAGTTGAGGGCAATGATGGAGATGTAAAAGGTAAGATTTGTGAACCTTCTGCATTATTTATAGTATGCAAATATTGATTGAAATCGTGAGTTGTGAGGGTCATGGGGGTCATGACAAATATGATTATAATAGTCTTAATAGTTCAATGTTCAAACCTCAAAACAAAATTAAAATAAAGTCATCAATTTCCACACAAACAAATGAATAGATTATAAACTTTTTGTCTGTTAGTATATTATCATGAAGCTGGCCCATATTACTTTTATATTTATTAATTACGTTGTTAGTGCAGTTAAGTGTAGAGATAGTATTTAACTCACTATTAAGTACAGTTTCCTTGATTTTGCCATATTAATCTTGATATTTTTGTAATCGTCAAAGCATGTGTCTTTCACCACTGATATTGTGGGTTCAAATCATGTTGGGACAACTTCCTCCCACAGGGAATGTTGACAGTGTTGGTAGGGATACCTTTAAAAAAAACTAAATAGGCTTAGTTAAAAATTATTTTAATAACTACGTTTCAGAGAATAACTCCATCTTCAGGTTAAAGGTGACTAAAGATATAAAAACTTTCAACACAATTACAAATAATTTTAGACAAAGTCTGTTAGGATTGTGTATGATAGTTGACGTGCACTTCAAAGTATTAAGGGGCTGTTTATATGGAAGCGAGCCAGCCCGGGTACCAGAGCTAGCTCACTTCCCCTAGATGAATTTCATCACACTTTACATGAAACTTTTGGGGCAGCTAACTTGTGAAAACAAATACAAATTTTCGCAGGAAAGTTTGGGCATGCGCAAAAAGACATTATTTTACTTAAAAGCCGAGCCAGCTCGGGTAAATGTGTTTATATGGAAAACTACCCAGCCCGTTTACGGTTTACCCGAGGTCTCGGGTCACACGAAGCAGTACCTCAGTTAGGCGGGCCAGCTCAGTTCTCATATAAACGCAAGATGAAATTTAGTAGGAAATATTAACAAAGACGGGATCTCGCCTAAAGCAAGCTATCTCAGGTACCCGAGCTGGCTCGCCTCATATAAACAGCCCCTAACTCGTGTCCATGTTCAGTAATAGCTGTGCTATGTGATAGCGAGTGATAAGGTGGCTGCAATGGCACCCTGAGAAAACATTCCACTCGATCACATTGAGCTATTTCCTTTGCAATTCAGCTTAGCTCTCAGCTGCAAGTAAGAATAATAAGCGCATCACTTACTTACTGTACTTCTTTACTAACTTACCTATACAGCTAATTCAGTTAAGGTTGTCCTCTGAAAACCACAAACCTAGAGCTAAGCACGAAAAGCACAATGGGTGTATGTATCATAATGAGATTGTTTATGCATGCATGTTAGTACATTTATGCAAAACAAGTGAATTTAATTCCCAAAGGAGTTAAGCATGTCCCACAAACAACTTTCTTTAATGTTAAAAAGTTTAAAAATCCAATGAATTTTGCCGAGTTTGCTATGGAATTGGGTTAGACAAGCAAATAGAATCCGAAATAGGCAAAAATCACAGGAATTTGTAAATTATAAATCGCTTTTTTCACGCAAAACCAAAACGACTTGTGGGACGTAACAACCGTAACTACGGAGTGTGGGAACAGTATGAATTACATACTACAGTATTTGCATGTCCATCGTGCTTTTCCCGCCTAGAGCTCTAAGTTTGTGGTTTTCTGAGGA